CCATGGAACCGGAAGTTAACGCGCATCTTCAGCGATCGTCCAGTGGGTCCTACCCTGTAAATCGTGGCGCGTCCGCCTTTGTGACGAAGTCACTTAAGAACCTGATTGTTATTGGTCAACTGTTGCATACTGATGTTGGCGCAAAACGTTCGTACTGAAAAAATAAAGAGCCACTGTAAGCCAGGAATAGCAAGCTACTGTAGTAATTAAGTGTGTTGTCAAGGTCAGGACTTCAAAGGAAGTTGATTTACTGTGCACGCCTTCCAATTTGCGTTCGATTAGCTTACACGTGTAAGTCAAACTTACACGAGAGCGTTCGTTTAGCCATCATCGTTGTGCCTGCCCTGGTGTCAGCCACCACTACTCCAGCTGGCGACCAGGTCTCTGGAGGCTGCCCGAGTGTAATGACGTCACGGATGGACTGTTTGTGCATGGACGTACATGATGGAACGTGGCGGGGACTTGACCTTTTCCCCAGAATGTCTTGTTGAATACAGTGCAGCGTTCGATTAGCCGGTTTTTGATGAGGCTTCCCTTGTGTGGAACACTGGTTAGGAAGCTAATCGAACGCACCCACTATATGTTGTATTCACACTCGATGTACCTAGAACTGCTTTAATTAACCCTAACAGTCCCAAATCCTCCGATTTCAATATGATTTTACATACACCCAAGGGGGTTAGTTACTAACACTTTCCCCAACCTGCCCCAGCCGAAGGTAGAGGTTCACAGCATGCGATTCTACTGTTTACTTGGACACACCATAGAGCTGTTTTATATATATATAGCTCTATGAGGCACACCCACTTAGAGAACTGTCGATCACTACCGGTACATTATTTTCAGCGAAACCTGGACTTCGGGGGGGGGGGACTCTGCGCCACAGTTTTTCATTTGAAAATTGATTTCATATGATCCTCATTGTAATAAATTTCCCTTGCCTTAAAGTTGTTTTCATGTACATATATTCTACCTGTATTCGCAATAAAGGTAGTTTCAATAAAAAAAATATATATAAAAGCGTATGTAAGGGCAAGTAAATCTCGGACTAAGAAATCAAGCTGTTTCGTTCCGTCGACGTGTTGATTTTTAAACGATGGATCCTCAAGTTAGAGGACTAGATCTGGTGTCAGATTTGCACTGCGTCACTGATCTCACTTGTGGTTGCTTTATGCAGTTCCAGTGATTATATAACTCTCTACAGGCGCCCGTAGCATAGCTCATAATTTTACCTGAAAAGAAAACGCGTTCCACTAGAGGTTTCTAAAATGTGAAACAAGCACACTGATACTGTCTGATCAAAGATTGAGAATATTTACCAAATTTGTCAGTGATGGGTTACTGTTATCATCGTCCCAGTTAGGCTCTTTACTCTTCACAGTGGAGAGAAGCATCCAAACGAGAGAGAGGGTCTTCATCAATGTTGTGACCATGACTATTAATTTTTAGGGGCCAGTCAAGCAAGATTCCAACAACATTTGTTCTCAGTCAAGCTATGTAAAGGTAATCTGATCGGATCCGATCATTGTCAGTTCATTTTATGGCTGGATAAGGCGGAGGAGTGCTAGGTCACAGCACGATGTTCTGCCAGTTAAAGAGCCTCGTATTTGGTGACCACGGGGGTTGTGATTGGTAACCAGTTGAGAATAGAATCCAAATTAGGCAAGCCGCATTCAAGCGTATAGACTACCCTGGATCTGTTCCCAAATTAGTTCATTAATTGTGCACGCATGCGCATGAATAGCCACTGTGCTATGAGTTTTACCTTTTACTGATTGTGAAATTGTACAAAATGGCAAACCAGGGGGCAACCAAAGGCTAACAAGACACACAAAAATTGAAGGTAGTTGGGAGAGTTGCAACTTCGAAGGCCGCTTAAGTTTGTTCTTAGCTCAATGAAATAATAGGCTACATCAACTAATTTGAAAATGAAATTATATATTATAAATTATTACAAAAGTGCCGCACTCCTGACAGTTTTATTTTCATCAATGATCGTATTGTCCATTTAGTTACGTCTATTCGAGCTAGATTTCAAATTGTACAGCGTTATTACGATTTTTGAGTGGCATAACTAAAGGTGTCAGAGTGGCAGAATGCCACGTGCTGATGATTTCGGAAGCAAAACCAGGACGCTTCAATGAAAGAAACAAAAACCGGGACGTTTTGCCATAGACAAATCGGGACACGGGTCGTTTGCCCTCCATCCATCACTCAGTCAATAGACAAATCTATAAATTTTCCTTTGATTTCTATTGTAAGAGTTTTTAGTGAACAACTTTGATCACATCTACCTCACTACCATCCACGCCGTGGCTCAGACTGGTGTACAAGCCGCTCCAGCTTCGACACCGAAGTGGAGGCGACTTTGACGTTTGCTCTCTTTGGGCAACATTTCAATCAACCAGTGGCTGAAATCTTGTTTACTGCAAATACCTCTGTGTACAGTGTGCGTTGCATTGAGGTTTTGTGTCTGTCATTATAGCATTGTCACGAAATGTTGGAAAGGGTATCCCCAGTTTGACATGTACTATACATGCATGACCCTTATGAATGTGTACACCGGCTCCGACGCATTGTACCGTGCACAGTACATGGGCGGATCGGTTGTGTGCATGTAAAACGCGTAGATCGCGCTGCGCAGAAGTGGCCGAAGTAACTCATGAAAGTCGAACCAAAAATCTAGCTAGATAAAACTGATGGTATTGCGTACTTGAGATTCTGGCCTGTCGTATGCAGTGGCTCAGTGTTCTGGGAACACTTCTAAAATTGAGAATTTGAGTGAAAAAAAGACCAAGATTGATTGATTGATAATGGAAATAGTTTGTCATCTTAGCAACCACTTTGAGGCTAAATTTCATGTAGCATTTCGTTTCAGGATGACGTGGTGTTTTATTCGGTTTAAGCCTTCTAGAGCACACACAAAAAGTTTCAATATGATCGTTTGTTAATTTTGTCTGAAACGAAGTCTTCAAAACGAGAAGGCCCAACAGAGGATTGGCAAGTTGCAAAGCACAACTCCGTATGGTTCACGAGGGTCCGGTCAAGTTACTGCCTTGCACTGTCAAGTCGTTAATTTCCACACGTCGAAAGGAAGTGTAATATTCAGGGTTACAGAATTAACTTGGGGCAATGGGGAAAAATTGGGGATGTTGATTTGTGGCACGATTTAGTAAAATTTTGTTTCAAAACAGAACCAACACTCCGTGCTTGACAAGCAAATGACCGATAAATTAATCAGACTGACACTGTTCCTTAATTCCCTTGATTTAACTAGAAGAGGGGTGCGGGCATAAATTCCCCCTTCCCAAAACACACACACACTTCGCCCATGATACCCAGCAATGAGATGTGTGGGAATTGGCTTGGCCGCCCCGTACGTATTCTCTATTTTGATTGTTTTAGGTTTCTGCCTACGTCATTGTTGATTAGCACTTGATATCCCTCAGGTCCAATTTCGACGATTTTGTTTTCTTGACTGAGGCCTGTTATAATAGACAGAAACAGTACATTACAATACATTTTGTATTGAAGGTTTAATTTTTCATCTTTCATTTCAGCGACACAAACTCCATTATGAAACGGGATATTAACAAAAACATGTTCAACTATCACGTCAACTGTACATAAAGATTGTTACGAATTTCCGAATTTCCAGAGAACGTTTTCAGAGCAGAATAAATTTTCACCAGAAATCTGCCAGGCATCGCCACCTTCTAGTTATCACTTCAAACTATAAACTAATCCAATATGGCCGTTTCACAATAGTGCGCCACCAAGAGTTTGCAACGCGAAATTTGTCGACCCAATGCACGTTTGGAAAGGGTCGACAAATTTTGCGCGTTATGATTGGCCAACGTGTTGCAAACTCTCGGTGGCGCACTATTGTGAATCGCCCGTATTAGTACGCCATAACTGCGGTGGCACCGCACTCACACGCACATTCTTCAGCTTGACGCGCGCGCATTTGGCAAATCACGACACCCTGTTGGTTGAAGAGGTATGTAACGCACGCGTACCACCTGTCCACGAGCGTTGTGCCACCGCAGGAATGGCTTCTGGTGGTCGAATTACACTATAGTGTAGTGCATATTCGCCAGAAACCCCGATGTGTAGTGAGTATTCATTAGAGCTTCACTAACTCAGTGAGGCAAGTTCGCTTCACATGAGTTTGGGATCTGCAACAGAGAACTTCTTTACAAAATAACGAAAAACATTTGGCAAAAGATAATCCATACGCTTCCTCCTTTAGAATCTGCCAGAAATAAAAATCACACTTTGTTTTTTTTTACGGCGAAATGCTGCTTTTAATAAAGTCTTTAAGCCAGAGATAGAATAACGGTAGCCACATTGGCACATGCGTGAAATAATAGGACTGTTTGTCACATCAATTTAAATGTGTGTCACGTCTCATGCGCTTGTATGCGTTTCATTTGTACGCGTAGGCGTCCACAAGGGTCAAGGGCTGCATCCGAATCTGTTGTCTAGGGCTACGTCTTGGTCTTCGCTCCATTGGAAATGTGTGGAAACGCGTAGACAACTGACCTAGCCGTAGCTCTGGAAGCCTGTTTCGGACACGGCCCAAGTTGGGACAATTTTACGCGTCCAGCGTCACCTCAAGATCTCTATGAGTGCGTTCGATTAGCTTCCCTGAATCCACCGGTGTTACACCAAGGGAAGCCTCGAAATAAGGGTAATCGAATGCTGCAGTGTACTCGCCAAGGCATTCTGGGAAAAAGGTCAAGTCCCCGCCACGTTCCATCATGTACGTCCATGCTCGAACAGTCCATCCGTGACGTCATTACACTCGGGCAGCGTCCAGAGACCCGCTCGCCAGCCGGGGTAGCAGTGGCTGACACCAGGGCAGGCACGCAGGTCACGTGATAGCTAAAGGAACGCACGTGCATATGGACGTACATGATGGAACGTGGCGGGACTTGACCTTTTTCCCAGAATGCCTTGACGAGTACACTGCAGCGTTCGATTACCCTCATTCGAGGCTTCCCTTGCGTGTAACACTGCTGTATTCAGGGAAGGGATGTACAACGACTGAAACGCATGGCTAGCTAATAAATGACGAACACCTTGAGCTGCCACTAATTAAATGTACGAAATGGTCATGAGCCGTGAGCCGACAGAGGTTTAAAATACCTTCACAAAAGGTTTAGTGTGGGTGTTGTGTAATAAATAAACACAATTATGTGCCGAGAAAATCCTCTTTTTTGATTAAAATACATCAAGCTTCATTAGTTCAGTTTTAGGGAAACCGTAGGCATAATTTAAAGTTTCTTTCTACATATTCCCTGCTTAGGACAAACATGAGCGAAGCGTTTATTCCAAGTAAGTGCAATCAGGCTTGACCTTCTTAACAGTTTCCCCGAACGGATGATTATCTTGAACTTCAGAATTCATCCCCATGAAGTGTTGACATAAAGTGTCGAGAGGGTAAGAAAGGGACCAAAATAATGATTTTAAGAACACTGACAGACAGCCTTTTCACGAAGAGACAAATCAATCTGTCCCCACGCTTAACTGCTCATATATGCAAAGCAAAGTAAGCTTTTTTGTTTTGAGCACGAAACATGATAATCGAAAATGGCTTCTCCCTATTTTTGCTTACTTTAAACACATTTCAGGTCCCACTGATGATGATTTGACAAGACTGCAAGATTAAACTAAGACAGACAGTACAGCATTTGCTGGCCTCGTATTTTCTCGTCGAAGTTGTGATTGTCTAAATCGACCAAAGTCACCGGTTTAGGGCAGTCGTCTGGCACAGATATGCCGGTAAAACTGTTCCCAACGCACAACACAAATCTAGTGGCGTATCTGATGATGCTGGATCTGGAAAACGCATTGTCGCACCAGCGATATTCCTCAGACTGGTCACCTATGAACAAGACACAGATAACCAACCAAAACGAAAAGTGAGCAAGATGTGTGTTGCAACCTTGTATCCAATCGGCATCCCTTCAAAATTTCTTTGCGCTCTCCTTGGAGGGTCAAACTTCCACCAAGCGCAATGCAGTTGCACCCAAAGACACGTTTGTGGTTGTACCCACAATGCTTTGCCTTCCAAGTCGCTGCAAGCGCTCTTAATTGGATTGGGGCAGTAGGAACGCAGGAAAGTTTTAGAGTCAGTTAGTACGTGAATTTTGACGAAACGTCCATTCTCCATACGACTAGATAATTTTTACATAACGAGACACAGATCATGGATGAAATTAGTCAGTCTCACCTTGTGCGAAATGAATTTTCCAGTTGTTGCCTCCTTCCGTGATGTTTAACTGAAACTTGAAAGGGTTTTTCATGTATGCCGTTGAAACTGTGGAGCGACCAACAAAATTTGGTTTAAAGGATCTGATATGTTGTTAAAAACAGCTACATGAGTACCATAATACAAAACATTGCCCTGTCAATAACTCTTCACATAAAAATGCAGACGTGAACGGTGGTTAATTGATGAGGTATAGTCAAAAGGAACGAAATCTGATCAGAAATGCTCACAAAATTTATGCAGTACCACAACAGAGAACAGATTCAACAGCGATGAATAAATAAAACAATAAAAAGCAATAAATAAAACATAAAATGTACACGGTCGACTATCTGACTGGTGCTGTCTTTGCATTTCAATTTAATGGGGGTCATAAACAGTTCATTTGTAATATGATATTCAGACCTGATATACCGGTTTTATGTTAATTATCGATAAAGGGAGAGGGAACAAAATTGAATAAATGACGTTAAGGGGGATGAGATGAGCCCGGGTCTTGACCCTAGCACTAGACAGGCGTACAAATTCTAGTAAAAACTGCCACAAGCTTGTAAAATACACTCATTAAACTTACCCAGCGGCCAGCAGCGGGATAGTAAAGAAGTATCTACACAGTCTTTTTTTCTTACGTGTAAAGATGATCGAGAGATGAAGTCTAATCAACATCAAATAAGGCATGAAAATTGCCAGTCACTGATTTACATGTCTATCCCAAGCCTGATCTTTTTTTTGGGGGGGGGGAATACATAGGAGCCTACTTAAAAACAGTCGTCCGTAAACATGCATAGTGAAGCTATGATGGCACACAGTTTCATCGTCGTTGCACTTCATGTTGAAAGTAGTAAACCCCTGTCGGAAACAAAAATGCAGCAATATCATACAAATGAAAAAATAATAATAATGTGAATTAAAAAAACTTGAGCTGCTTTAAAACAAAACATTAAATTAAATTTGTAGGACATCACGGCGGCTCGCGCATTGAAAGTACATTCTGTGCTTCAATTGCCTGTTGAACATGTGAGAAGCTTTCTATCCCTGTCTTGTTCGGACTTCAAAAAGCATATCAGGTGGAATCATGAGCCCAGATCGGTATTCCAACAGCGCATGCTCAAACTGAAGCGCGTCAAGGGTCATTTGGAAGCAGCACGCGCGCACAATAGTCTGTCCTATCAATATCAGCGCAGCTGTACGCCAACTCAACTTTGTGCCTGGTTCCCGAAAGACAATGAAACACCAGACGTGATTATTGAGTTGAGGCATCAAGATGCAATATACAGGCTAATCTGTGGACCGGAATTTAAGAACCAATACTTCCTGATCACATGTTCCACGCAGGTTGTACGCGTGCGTTACATCCTTTTTGACCAATAGGGTGTAGCGACATGCTAAAGTGCGCGTGTGCTCAACTGAAGGACCCATGCGTATGAGTAGTGGCCCTGCAGTAATGGCGTCTAGCTAGCTGCTGATGTGAAAATTTGAACAAACTACGTTGGAGGAAAAACTTGTACTCTAAGTATTGTACGGCTATTGCAGTTGTTACTAGGCCTGTAGGAATGACTAACATACCACTATAAAGAGCCTGATGCAGCACAAAAACTGCGGAAATCTACCTATGTATGAGAACATGTACCATGTTTGCCTCGGCTGGATCACTGTGGGTGATATCCCAGTTACTCTCCACCTTGCAAGCAAGTGTCAAAAACAGAAGCAATTCAATTCGCATCGTTGCGTCAGAGTTTGGTAGATTATGTCGGGCTATGGCGGATTCAGTGGTTGTTGACGTTCATAACGCTAAGTTGTGCTGAAGGTATACACATTTCAAAAGTAGACCGACTATCATTATAGTTTATATATTCAGGCTTATTAACCGTGAGTGCAAAACGATGGCCCGTTTATAATTATGCACATTATTCAACAGTCTTATTGTAATTCGCTCTGTCGTGAATCGCATACCAATACGGGCGATTCACAATAATGCACCTCCAAGAGTTTGAAAGGAGTTGGCCAATCACAATAAGCGAAATTTGTCGACCCTTTCCAAACGCGCATTGGGTCAACAGATTTCACGCACTGTGATTGGCCCACGAGTTGTAAACTCTTGGAGGCGCACTATTGTGAAATGCTAGTATTGAGCATATGCTTTCCAGTGAAAGCGTAAGCTGTAATATCTAACTTTGAACGTGTCAAGTTGAATGCGTGAAACTTTAGTCGAAAACACTCGAAAAGAGATGTCTACTATATTGCTGTTACAGGGTTTTAATTTTTTGTTATTGTTTTATTGGGGGATTTGCAGGTTTGCGATTTTTAGGAGGGGGGTTTGGATTATGAATATTGAATGATAGGTTTGGGGTCTTGGTTGTTGGGCGTTGGGTTTGGGGTTATGGGTGTGGGGTTTTCGGCTTGGGGTGTTAGATGTTGGGTTTAAGTTTTTTTGTGTGCTTTTGCTTTCAGGGGTATTGGTTTGAATGTTCGGTTTTGGTTATTGAGCTCTGGGTTTGGGCTTTTGCGCAATTAGGCAATTAGCTGCACACTGAAATTTCACACAGCTGCTTAGAAAGTGACTGTATAGCCACAATCATCGACCTGTGCGTAATTTCATGGCGCGGTCAAGCGATTCGGACAGGGTTCCTTGATAGCAATAGTTGAGCGTGCAGTGTACTGCAACTTTTTGATGACGCATCCCTCTAATAACTCTTTTGAAGACATTTCTCATTGTGTGTGAATGTAAAGGTCTTATTTGACCAGCAGAAATAAGTTTAAAAGTACATGGCAACAGGTTAGTACACTCTTATCATTCAAACAAGCAGAGCATTATCAAAACCATTTATTGAAAATGCACCCAAGATCTCGGCTTTTGAACATGAATTACGGAATACTAGTACATGTTTGTGTTTCCATACCTGAAATGTTTCTTTCGCCAGTAAAGGAAAAATGCTGTGAAAAACTTCTCTCGTAGTGACAAAATTATAAGCTTGATCGAAACGTTTTCTGCTACAGAAAATAAATTCTCTATCTCTCCTAAATAATGTTATTTTTAATAAAACGTTCACGTTTTTCTCATAGTATGCACAATAGTAATGCTTGAAGGATAGCCGTAACCAATTTGTTTTGACATAAACCTTCAAAAAGTATGCACCTTAAATGTTCTCAACTAACCTTATTTTCAACGGGCAGACACAACGGTCCTTTTCGATTGATGTGGGCATGCGCGAGCAGTTCTAGGCATGCGCGTTAGTTCTGAGCACGAGCTCAACTGCGAAAAAGGACCACCGGTTAGTATGCCGCCACCATCCGTCTCAAAGTCTCCCACTGATGTCGTCCCAGGAAGAAAGCCTCAATTTTACATTGGTTTGTACACAAAAAAGTCAAGCATTTTGTAGACTGCGATAATTTTTTCTTCTTTGCTGATTCATTGTTGTTTATCTGCATAGCAATAAGTGAGCATCAATTAATCCTTTACTCAGATAGGCTTATGTCTTCAGTAAGTAACACCTGGGTTCACAATTTGCACATAGTACCTATGCACTGAAGTATGTCTTCCATATCGCAGTAACAACGCCCTCAGTTGTCCAGCAAAGCATGGTTAATTTTAAGTTTTTAAAAAAGGGCACTAGCACTGCATTTAACCCAACAGGAACGTGAGAGGCGTGGCCTAGTGGTTAGAGTTTGTAGCTTCTGATCATAGGGTCAGGGGTTCTAACCCAGCTGGTGGCAGCATGTTGTGATCTTGAGCAAGTCACTTTACCCCCATGTGACTCTTTCCACCCAGGAGTAAATGGGTACCTGTGAGGGCAGACACGGTTATGTCTATTCGTTTGCGCCGAAATGGCAGCACCGGACTCCCCAGGGAGCTGAGATGTTTTTTCAGATGAAGTGTGAGCCCAATGTGCAGGGATAATGATAATACAGCGCCTCGGAATAGTTTACTAGATAGATGGCACTATACAAGTGTTTGTTATTATTTCTTTATTATTATTAACGTAAAGCGTTTTCTTACATCGGAGAAGTGTAAAAAGTGGCAGAAAACGTATGTCTAAGAAAAATTTATTGCATTATACTTTAACGAAGATGAAATTTGAGCAACTGGAGAAAGCAGCTTGATGCCAGATTTTCTTTCCCCAGAAAACGGTAAAAATTGATGAATATATCAATTTCATTTCTCAATATAGCTTAAATAAATGGCACATAATTCAATCTATCCTACATGAAAATCTGGTGCCAGCCATGACCTGATCGCGAAGCCTTATATTATCAGCCTAGGGCAGGCAAAACAGCAGTTGCTGGCCTTGTATTTTCTCGTCAGCAAGATGAGCGTCAAACGTGACCAAAGCTACGGGGCGAGGACAATCGCTCGGTACTGAAATGCCACTAAACATGTTCTCGGCGCACAACGTGTATCTCATTTTCATGCTGATGACCTTGCTCACTCGTCCCTCAATACTGTCGCACCATCGATACAGTTCGGACGGGTCCTCTGTGGATTAGAACGAGAGATGGGGGAGAGAGACATGGTGCATTATGTTCAACACATGTAAACAGAGAGTCACGTGACATGATCTCTTTGATCTGTCGTTTTCTACGGTAACAAAATACCCAGACGTCAGGAAATTTGACTGGCATGTATAAACCCCACGCGCAACCAAAAGAGTGCGCACCAAGCAACGGTGGCTCCTTGGATGGTAGACTGGTTCCCGTCTTGTACGTAGTCTCCAGACGTCTACAGACGTCCTCCGAATGTCGGGAGCGGTAGCTGGTTATGAATCTGGCAGAGTCGTGCCGGGGCGGCAATGCACAAATCAAGTAGGAGCAAGCGGTTAGTATATTGTGCTTTTTCTTCTTCGTTACGGAAAATAAGTTCACCACAAATTGCTCGTTTATCTAAAATTTAACACAATAACCACTGGTTTGAAATAAAATGCCGTAAAAATTTATCAATGATAATTTTTTAAAAATGAATTACACCACACTTTGATCAGCAGAGGCTTAGCAAGGAAAGGTACTTGTTTTGTGTTTTGTCTCCCCGCTGAAACGCATTTCATGTCAAGGTATTGCTATTTACCTGATAAGAAACTCGAATATTCGGCATCCAACTTGACAGGGCCAATCGCACAGGTTAAACCACAGCTAGCTATCGGTCCCTATACAATACGGACGGGGGGGGACCAGTCCCGTTGGTGGAACTGCACTTCGCCGGTTAACGAACGACTATGAAAAGCGTGCGCTGCGTTCGCGTCGCTGCCAACAAAACAGCCAGCATGGATCTGTTCAACTTGTGAGGGGGCCCTTCTGCTCGATCGTGCATGAGTATTGAGGGTGTAGCGACGCCTGTCCCCTCACGCGCAGCTTCAAAAAGGATGAGGATACACGAGTGAGATGAAATCAAACCGAAGCATCCAACCTCACCTTGACCAAAATTGAAGTTCCAGTCATTTGTTCCGTCTTCAATGCCACACTGGAAGGTGTAAGGATCCGCCTTATATTCGGCAACAGCTGTCGATTAATCCAGACAATTTTTAGACTCACATAAATAGAATACAAATAAGCAGTACTTCGTTGTCTAGAAAGAGGAACTTTCACAAGTGAGTCAAATAATGTCCCAACAAATGTGTGGCAATTCATCGAAGCAACTTTGGAGAAAGCATCCAACCCCATTTATCATAAATAAAATCAAGACAAGTGCAATTTCTTAATCCACATAATGCCTGTGTTATGATGACAAACCGAATTATAGCCTACGCATCAATAAGAGAAGTTTTTTCGATACATTCGAAACAAAGGAAAAACTGGAGAGTTTTGTGCCAGATCTGTTCAGATTTGTTTCCCCGTAAAATTCTCAAGTCCGTTACCTTGTCGATACATGACGGCATCCCTAGTGGCAAATTTTGCAATGGATGGTCAACGTAGCGCTCTAAAAATCATTTTCTCGATTCGCTACCGACGAACAGTTAAACAAGAGTTAAGACACATTTACCTGTGACTGCTACCACCCAACACTTATGGCAATAGCTCAAGTTAAAAAAATCACAACTCACGTAATATTCCATTCGCCCTGGAAAGACGAAAGATGGTCTGTACTCCGGTAAACAATTATTGTAACAGACGTTACTAAAATAAGATGAAATTGGATGCCTTAAGACCAACCAAGCGAAACTGGGAAGATACAAGATCTCACTGAGCGGAACTGGACAGAGACAAAATCACATACCCAAATAGGCTTTTCCATAATACTCTACTTTCTTGCAGTGCTGGCAAACAGTTCCGTATTCGTTGCATGTCATATTGTGGACAAAAAAGCCCTGTTGGAAACACAAATATAATGTTTCATACAAATGATAAATGTTTATCAAGACTTTTTTCCTGGTGTGACAGAGTAACTGTCGCATACCTTGACGTCAGACGTCGCTCGTTTCGTGAGTCTAATTCAGTGCAAATTGATATAAATGCGTTGTAATGAGGAAACTCAGAACCTTTAGAATCATACACCGGCAGCCTTGGTGTTATGGACGGCATGGCAAAATCCAAAGGGATGAGGGGATAAATATCCCCTCACTTTTTACGCGGGGGTGGGCTATTGAATCCCCCCCCTTCCCCAACTTTTTGTGGTTAGAAAAACTTAAGGCTGACTGTGAAGAATTTTCGGATCTGCTAACAACCAAAAGGTATTTAAAAGCACTCAAAAAGGGAATAATGAAAAGGCCATAATTTGGCCGTCTTAATGTAAGGTTTTACAAGTCTAGTGCAGAGACCCCAGTCTTAACTGAATATAACTTTATGTCAAAACGGACAGTTTATTTCTTCACTACGCAAGCTAGCCGCGTACGCCTCCACCCTTCCTCATAAAAGTCGCCCCCAGTCCACCACCCACCCACTGGAAATTTGGAAAACAAAAGAAACAGTAATATCAGGAACTGACTAGGTTTTGTGCCCCGCGTAACATCCGTGGCAGCTGCCCCGTTCGGCCCCCTGCCACGAGAGCCCTGGTTACGCTCTAGGTGCCACAACTACGCCTGCGCAACTGAAGGCAGAATAAAATCCATAAAACTTGTATTTTTACACCACCTTATGTCATGCACAAAATGGACGCTTTGTATTTTTCGGCATACAAAATACGATGTACCTACGCGACTGAAGGTTGAGCAGTGTCCATAAAATGTTTATTTTTAGAAGCCACCATATGTCACAAAAGGCCCAAGGACGGCAAAGGAATACTCATAATTCCAATGATAGAATTTTGTTTATGAGCCATCTTCATGCTATACTCTGACACTGATAACAAATATTATTATTTGTTGCTGGCTGACAAGTTTGTGGACCTACAATTTGGAAGTCGATTTAAAATGAACCAATGACTTGTAGTGGCGTGTCCAGCGGGGGGCAACTGCCCCCCCCCCTCCGCCCTGTTTTATCAAGAATACTTTATAGTTGAGAAATAAAGAAAGTAAGTATATTCATCAAATATTAACACCAAAACCTAAGAAAACAACACCAGCAAATAAAAGCAAGGATGTCAGGACTGTAAGTAAGGCTTTTAAATTTTTTTGTTGAATGAGCCCAAAGCCACATTTGCTTTTTACTTTCCCCCCCCCACACACACACCCATGTATACACACCCAAAGGCGGGTACACCGCTGGTGACCGTGTAGGCAAAACTCGAAACCTTTGTCTTTAAGATCCGTAGTGGAATCTAGATATCTTTGAAACATTTCTGTACAGCCTATCACCTATAAGCTTTTTTACGACAATAGGCTTTCTAGCTTGATCTAACCTTAAGAGACCAGAGTTATTTTGGACAATCTCACAGATGGAAGAGTTGACTCCGCCCCCCGAATCCACCCTCCCCATTGCAAGATGTCGGCTGTCCCGTGCCCGATTTTGTCTAAACAGTGCGTTCATATAGAGACACTCTTCACTAGTACAAAATTGCTAAGTTTCCAATCTGAAGGATAGTTCTGTTGTTACGATAATTTGAAGTTCAGGTCACATTTAGCGCGGCAGTGGAAAAGTACACAGCTTTTTGGCTGACCTGTCTCGGAAAATGGGCGCTGCGTGAGGATGGTATATCCTCAATTTTCACAAAGGTGGTATCAAAATGACCGCAAACAAATCCTGTAAGGCTTAGCTTGTGAGAAAAAGCCCTTCGATAATATTGGAAAGCATGTTGGTGGTCAGATTCCGCCCCTGCTCTTTTGGGGGTAACAAAAATTTATTTTGTGACCCAAGTTCGCTGGAAAGTTGATGCTACTTTGTAAGTATTCTTTGCTTTAGGCTTAAATGTGGAATTAGATTCCGAAATTACATCAGCAGATTTTTTTTATTCTGTTTGAAGAGCCATTCACGAGCACAGTATAATAGTTTGTTACGCTAGCGATGATAATTTCATTGTGGTCAGTGCTTTGTTTGTAATATAATTCACCTAGCATAACCCAGTTTGTTCGCGGCGCCAGCCTTAATTTGAATCAATAATGTTGTAATGTTCCCACATGAATTAACAACGTGACACGAGTGCAACCACGTGCAAAGACTATTCACAACATCCTTTTTTCAAATGTAGACTGCAGTATGTTGTTTCAAACTTGCATATTCGGTTTAGTCCAATATTTAACTTTAGCACGCCTTCCAATTCACGAGAAAATGAACGAAGCGTGTACCCGTATCTCCTCACCAAATTTTTGAAATTGGCCTTGAAAGCACACTCAGATGATATTTTACCATTTAGGGAATTTGTTCTCTGCTTTTCATGTCCGTTATTCTATTATTTCCAGGACATTCCTCTGAGCAGAGTAGAGTGACCTCTGCTTGGGCACCCCCATCACTTTCAAGTAAGCATTATTTTACCGGAATGACGAAATTCTGAAAAGAAGTGGAACCAAAGAATGAACCTACCATATTTGCTATGGCTGGGTCCGAGTCACTGCCATCACCATCCCAGTTGCCTTCCGCAGCCCGCAAGAACAGCGCGAGAAGGAGCAGTGTCTTATGCATCTTTGTAAACAGTGTGTTGTTAAACGGTGCCAAAATTGAGGATGACAGAATAGCAGTGATGGCTAGGTTGTAATTTTTATACGCGGTTCCGTCACAGATCTCGCTCTGAGTCATTTATAAACAGATAGCATTTACCTCGGACAATTTGAACTTTTTATTGGTCTACCGACCTACATTATAAGGCCCGTTGACTACATGTACATGTATACACGCATGCGAATAAGGAATTCCGCTAAATTAAAAAAGAGAATTGGTTTTCTTTTGATCGGACAAAACACGTGGTCTCTCAATAAACAGCCGTGTTTAGAAACCAGAGCGATTTTTACAAGGATACCTACCGCGAGACTGTGAACGAAGCAAAGTGATTGGAACATGTTCTCAGAGAAACGGAGTGCGTTTTTTTAATGGGAAAAAAATTTCATGTTATTAACAAAAAACAATTCTCTCACATTTCGGTTGCATTCCCCAAAACCGAATGAAATCTTGTGGACCGAACATCTTTTACGGCTCGAATGAAAATTTTACAATACTAACACGTTTTCAAGATTCGAATGAAATTTTCCCCAACAGCTGCAGGTTTTGATCCAAAATTTTGTTGTTCCTTCAACGTATAATTCCGTTGTTTGACGACAATGTTTTTCCTTCACGTCCCTTTAAAACCACCGTAACGCGGGCAGCGAATGTACTACCTTATTGCCCGGCCAGATATCTATAGAGGGCGCCATACTCATGAGTCGTCATCCTGCACTGCACGTTTTACACACCGCGCTTCGCGCTCATTGCTGTGTGCCGCGAGTTACGCGAGAATATAAGAATGGCGGCATTCATGTCATGGAGTGTCGTGCTTCGTTTTGTATCGGTACTTGCTAGGCCTACCTAGTGTGCAAACGCAGTGATTGACCAAGTTCAGGTTGACAATCTTGATGAAGAATCGCACAGAGCAAGGTATATTGACGTTGTGATGTAAAGTAAATGATTTATGAAAAGTAAATGATCGGTGAGTGAACCATGGCGGAAGCCTTCCTCCATCATAATCCATGGTCACGGTGAACCAGTGTCATCATGTCAATGTGATTAGGCCTAAGAGTAGGACCTACATGTACATGTAAGCCCTTTGCCAAGCCTGGCCATTCTTGCGGTCGGAGGTTGTTCCATTATGTCCACAGTACCGGTAAATGGAACAACCTCCATGACCTCGGACCGCGATTTAGGCCCTATCATTGCCTATTGCACTCGCGGCGGGGCAAAGCCATGAAAGGGGCAACTCTCCGTTCACTTTGTACAAGGATTTGCATGTTTTCCTCCTTTTTTGCTGCATTATGATGAAAATAGCTGAACCCTGTTTTGAGCTGTGTGGGAGATATTCACAGCGCATAATGCCCCCAGAACTGTGGGGTCCACCCTGCTCCCGTTAATGGGAGCGGGGCAGATGTTGGACCCCACAGTTATGGGTAAGTGCATAAATAGTGAAAATTCGGGCATGCCATAGCCTATTGATGTAAAGATTATGAACTTGATGAAGGTTAGGAGTGTAATCAATAATTCAGATTTTCCCCAGACTGGAACGCTATTTTTTCCCTTTGAGTTTGGAGTGTGAAATATGGAATAGCCGCCAATTGACCAATCAGAGAGATTGAGAAGAATTGAGACTCAGTGAGTGACATCCAAACCGCGAGAATTCTGTCCACCGCACATGCTCACGCCACAATGTCTGCCCGCATACTGGTATAACTGCTGAAAATGAAACGGCTGCCAAAAATTTATTCATTATTTCAAAACGTTCATTTTTCAAGAAAAATCATTATCTTTTCTGTTGGAAATGGCAAAAAATGGCAGCACAGTAATCAAGAGTTCACAAAATCAATCAAAAACGTCACACACTTAAATAAAAATTTATCACAGCATGATGCAAGATGGACTGAGAGCTAGTCAGTGCTTGTCCAAGCACTGTTTAATCAGTGTACGGTACACCGACTTGTCCAAATAATGGATAATGAATGGATTTCACAAGTTTTGGGACAGAATTCTGGGATGTTCATTCTCTTGGCCCAGCGAAAGGTGAGTGATCATTTACAGGCCTATGCAATAAAGCAGTCATCTGGTGATCTGGTCATGATCACGAATAGCGACAGCGCAATGCGTACAATGATAAAGCTGGACATGCTGGATTACGCGGATCTATCACCCTGACCTCCTGATCTGTAGCTGGCCTCCTGATCAGTTTGAACATTAAAATAGTAGCTTGCCCTGCCCAATCACTTGCGCACATTTGCCGTCTTGTACTTAAAACCAATGCATTGTGTAATGAAAAGCATTATGTTCTGTCTGCAGACACCTTGACACCGTAGACTCCGTGCACAAGGTCTTGGATGGTAGCAGGACACTGAACTCTTTCTTTAACCCTAACTCCCCGGAGTGATTTACTTGGAACCATGCCCATTCACACAAATTCCAACACCATATGGTAAACTGTGCGCAAAAACTGTTGAACTCTGTTTATTTTGGGTATGCCTGAACCCATGTTAAAGCACAAGCAGTTTAGGGGTACAGTACCCAGTGCCACAAATTCACACACTTTACTGGTGTTCAATTCTGTGTGGTTAAGGAAGGTTAGGGTTAAAGCACAAGTAGTTTAGGGGTACAGTACCCAGTGCCACAAATTTACACACTTTACTGACGTTCAATTCTGTGTGGTTAGGGAAGGTTAAGGTTAAAAAATAAAAGATTGTCCAAGTGATTTTGGTGTTCAGTGTTGCTGCTTTGTGGACGATTGACTCAACAGTTCTTTCTGTTTGTCTCTTTTGTTCTTTTATTTCTTCCAGACTTTTTGTAGTGTTTTTTTCCTCTCTCTTGAAGTGGTAAGCTATGGCCCGGCCGTTAAACATCGCTCCTGTGCTGACAACAGCCAAGGAGGCATTATGTATCGCTGGCCAGCATGTAGACACATTCGTGTCTCAGGATAAAGGCTATCCTGAATTGGCGCAGCTACTCAATGCAACGTCATCCTGTGAGCATCAATATTTTCTTCTCATTTAAACATAAATGCATATAGCATGACGGATGTAATATCAAAGTGAGTTTTTAAGATATTGCATTTGAATCACTTTGGAATGTTTAGAAAAAATCCTGGTGAATGCTGTTGTTGTTCAAATGTTGTCTAGTGATCTGTGTTTTAATCACTTGGAGAAAACTCTTGCATCATTTCATTGGGAAGACTTGGTCTCTGACTCTCGTGTTATTCTGGTGCATGGGATTGGGTTGCAGCTCACGCTAGTTTGAGTGGGATCAGCGACGTGGATTATCCAGCCTTATCCTCAGCGGCCGTGGGATTGGCCGATCTGCCGCAACTGAGCCCAGCCAAGAGGGTGCCCTTACCTCCAGAACTGGTGGAGCAGTTTGGACGTATCCTTTTTGAGCGTGTTGGAAGTCACCACATTTGCAATTGAAAATGAGCTTTTTCCGAAGGTTGAATTGTATAAACCCTTTAATCTACTAGATTTTGTAGGACAAGTTGTGTTTGCCAAGGACTTGCTACTGAGTTCTGCTCAGTGGTGGATTTTCTAGGGAGTCCAGATTAATCCACCAGGTTTGGAAACTTTTTCCTTGATGCACTCTGACCCAGATATGCAGTGTAACTGCATGATGGGAGTGTTTCCTCAAATAAGTCGGGCGTGGCTGTCCGTCGACAGTGACATCTTCGTCTGGAACTATGAAGATGGGTAGGTGTGGCAATTATGGTCCAGTCAACCACAAATCCATTACCAGCCAGGCAGAAAACACAAGTCTGGTCGCCTCAGTGTGTAAAGTTACAGTCGGACATTGCCCCTCTTTCCTACCAATTTTGTTATTTATCTGACCAAAGCAGATGGGAATCAGACAAAATGTCCAAAGGAAATGTTAAGCGATGAGTCCTTAAGAGCAAGAGCCTGTTGGTGTTTTTATTCCACTTTTTGTGTTTATCACATCTGAATCGTGAAAGGGTGTTCTCGTTGGATGTTGGTATGTCCGATCAAAAGCCGATAATGACAGAACAAAGTAGATTGTGTTAGCACGTTCTGTCTGACAGTTTTTATAGCTAATATCACTCATTTCAATGAGCTTGTCACCTTTTGGTATTGCTTGGAGTGCTGAATTGAGACAGGATGGCCCAAGTGAGTGGCTTGCTAGGCCTAGATTTCAACTCGGAGGGATGGAAGGTTGACAAATATTTTGATCCAACAGGAAAGAGACTGAACTGAACTTAACTGAACTCTCCTTCACACACACATAATTACAATCCATGCCGGGCAAAAGTTCAACTTTTTTTGTGTTTGCCCATTGGGATAGCGGCAGTAGATACAGACTCCGGTTCTTGAAACGAAGGATCGCAGTTTGTTTACCAAGATACGGCGTTTAACTAATTTCAGACCCATAGTATTCCATTTATTTCCATGCATTTAAATCACAATTACAATTACAATTTGGTTAATGGTCCGTGTCATTCATCAAATCATGTGATCGCTGTTCCTCATTTGTCTGATTGAGGCAAACTTTTCCAATTTTTTTTTTTGTCTTGAAAAGGGGTGACCTTGCCTACTTTGACGGACTGAGCGAAACCATACTGTGCGCCGGCCTGGTTCAGCCCAAGCCCAACATCTTCCGCAGTCACATCCGTTTCTTGCTCTGCCTGGCGACTCCCGTGGAGATTGTCCTGTTGGGCGTCAGCTTCACTCAGCCCCACGAAGGTACACCATGCTCATGCCTGCAAGCACTCAAAGCTTATGTAAACTTTTTTCATGGTTCGGCCATATTGAAATTGAAAGCAAGGTTTACTTTTTCTTTTGAAAGTTGAGAATAGAAATGAAAGCAAGGAAATAAAATTTTACACCATGACATGGTTCCAAGTTGTCAACCAGTTGATCCAAACCATCCATGATATTGGTCAACCTATGGTTAACCGTAGTCATTGCTCAAACTTGCCCGATATAATGGCCACAGACCAGATTGATAGACGTCTGGCAGATTTGGAAAGGTATTCCTTAAAAGCTGTGAGCAGCAAAGGAGAAGTTAATGTAGGACTTCTAGCTTCTCATGAAATCTCAATTCAGGCTCCTTGCAATAGAGGATGCACGAGTGTCGGCACAGCTATAGCTCCTGCTAATCGTTGCTACCTTTCTCTGTGAACTGGACCAGCTGGTGTCCATTTTTAAATAGCCGACATTGTCTTGGAATGTTCCATTTTTGTCCTGCAGATGTGGGCCAGAACGATTACAGTCGGTGCGAAATGCACCTGTTGCCAGATCCCCTGTTCTCCATCCAGACGGACAACACCTACATGCTGAGTGTCAAGTCAACGCCAGACGGCCGCATCTTCCTGGCCGGCAAGGACGGCTGCCTCTACGAGATTGTGTATCAGGTAAATTCACTTCTTGAAGTCAAACTGGCACTCCAGTTTGGTCAACTTCATTTCTGGTCAGCTATTTTGTTGACAATTAAGGGTTCATTTCATACCATCAAGGAGAAAACAAGGCCCAATATGTGGTACTCAAGCCCCAGTGTATGCGATCTCATGGGTCTAATCCGTCAGCTCGACACAGACAGTCGGAAAAGTCAAACATGATCCATCTCTGCTGACTTTCTGCACCTATGTTTGCACTAGTTGTAATCAAGCATTTCTGTATGATTGCATAGCACCAGGGCATTTTGGCTCTGCTGTTGACATCACTTTACGTCGATGCGGAAATTTGTCTTAAGATAGGCACCGTCTCCGTCAAACCTACTCAGCTCTAGCATCATATTCATCAAGTCATCCCATCCCAGGACTGTATCAGTCCAGGGATCCATCCATAGTCAAACTGTGTATGTGGAGTCACTCGGCTTGGACTCTCCACCGCAGCTTCACAAGCAGTTAAACTCCCGTTGATGTGTCCTGTGTGTATTCACTAGGCCCAAGATGGTTGGTTCAGCCGCAAGTGTCGGAAGGTCAACCATTCCAGTAGCTCGCTGTCGTTTCTTGTGCCTTCGTTTCTGACCTTCTCAGAAGAGGGTGAGTTTAATCATCCGGTCACCAGTGCTTGCATTTTTATTTGAATGAGCTTGTTTTAGGGGAAAAAAGGCACCCAAGGCAGCTCATGTGTGACTTCCCTAATAGGAGTCGGAGAGTTTCTTTTCGTTTTGGCTGAGAATTTGGATTTGCAAGGAATGTAAGCTGTAGCAGCCAACTTCTAATTTACAGCCAAATGTTATGTCATTTGAACAGTATTTGTACTTGATATTTTTCAACAATCTGGAGCGTACGTCCTACCACAGTAGGCCACATGCATTGGCGAAGTTTAACCCACAGTCTGCCTCCTCAGACTTCTAGGGCTTTGTGTGTACTTACAAAACAGAGAATTATGTGTTTGACGTCAGCCAGAGGTGAGTGGAAGTGCGCTTGACGTTTCAACCAATCAGCCTTGCCAGTCTATAGAGATAACTAAATTTTCTAAATGACCTCTGATGCAAAGTGGTCTCAAGTTGAATGCCGAATGCCTCGTCTAACACTGCCAGCCATGCTGGGTCTCTTACGGACTGTAGTTTGTTCATCATTATCAGACCCAGTAGCGGAGATTTCCATCGACGACAGCCGCCACATCTTGTACACCCGCTCTGAGAAGGGTACCATACAGGTCTACGACATGGGCTCAGATGGCTGCAGCATGCGCCGAGTCACAGCCTTGTCCCATTACTCCATGATGAAGCATGCCATGTACTACGCCAGGTGAGCGTCGACCAGACAGGTTCCAACCGTTTCTGGGATTGCCAGGGGGTTGCAATAAGGCTGAGTTAGTTTGAATAATTAAATATTTAATTATTTGACTTTCCACTGATCAAATGTTCATATAGTCAGCCATCTGAAATATGCATTTTTTTACAAAAAGTGAAGGAGACAACTTTGAAGGAATAGTCGGTTTTGTGGCCTTATGGTCGGACTTGAGCATTCAGCTCCCTTAACGTTTACTGATTACACTTTGAAAAATGCTTTTAGAATGCAATTTTTGTATCCAAATATCAAAATTTTTCTCTTTTTTACTTAATTAATTCCTACCTCGAAATAGTCAATTTCGACAATCAATCGAATATCGGTATATTTGAATAATTAGCACAGCTTTGCATTACAATAGGATATCTGTCTTTGCTCCAATTCCAAGTCTCAATTTTGTTATTTTTATTAAGTGTGTTTTGAAGTCAACGTGTCTCAGTATAAAGTAACAGTTTTCTATTATTTCGATTTTTGTTCTGTAGAATTCTACAGAGTTCTTCATTTTTTTTTCAAATTACCACCTGCCAGCTGGCATTTGTGGAGTTGTTTCTGGAGAGTAGTGTATTCACAAACTGCACGTGTAGCATTCCATTTGAATCCTTGGTCGGCTTTGCTATGTGATACAGGACCATCGATCGTTCCAATTTCAAGCACATCGTCCACATCGCGGCCATTCCTAGCACAGAGTCCAGCAGATTGCATCTGGTCGCCGTCACACAGACAGGTACGACATCTATTCTCCGTCGTGGTGTTTCCTAAGTCACGGTTGCATCCCAAAAGATATTGCACAGTTACATCCAAGTAGACATTGCACAGTTGTGTCCAAAAAGATAGTTTATTGCATGGTTATGTCCAACTTTTCATGCAGGCGTACGACTGTACTTCACCACTATCCCCTACCAAGGGGGTTGGATAGCAGGTGTTGGAGCCAGAGACAGACCAGTATCTCTCACCTTAGTGCACATCAGACTCCCTCCGGGCTTCACCGCTAACTCTGCACAGCACCGACCCACCAATGTGCATGCTGCCCTCTACAGTCAAGGTATACCCTTATTCATGGGGATTTGGAATCTAACACCACACCCTTCTTTGTACATTTTTCAAAGAGATTGATCGTTGGACAGCCAAGATCTTGGAAAAGTCAAACGAAACCTTGCTCTTCTGGAGTTAAGACAATTCATTGGAGTGATTTGTAGGAAGTAGCAAGTACTTAAGTCTGCCTTTCTTGCTATCTGTTCTAATTTTTCTCAATCATAATCAATTAATAAACCCGGAGAGCATGCTAAGTATTTCTGTGAATCATGCAGACCGTGAGAGATGAAATAAGATAAGGTTTTAAGTGCCCAGTATTGCATGGACTAAAGGCATATAACTTTGTCAGTGGTAACTGTTTTGTCGATGATGTCCCCCCGCCAGGTGCATTGCTGTTGTGCGCCTCACAGGGTGAGGACAGTGACCTGCTGTGGTGTCTCAATCCAGACTCATTCCCTTTCCAGCGCTCCCTCATGGAAACACAGGTATGTGGTGGCAAGCAGTCTCGGGTCACACTTTGTTGCGATTTGAAATTTTAAAAATTGATGTCAATCGTCTTAACTTGTCTTGGGGGGTCTTCAAATGCTTCCAATATGGCACAAGGCACATTTTAAAGGAAGAGGTGAAATGTATGCTAGACAGGGTGATAATTAAATTGAAAGACGATGCTGTAAATTGTACATCATACAAATGCAACTTGCAGACGAAATCTCAGAAATTTTATCTTTCAAGCCTGCAAAGAAAGCCTCCCCCCCCCACAGTTCTTGGAAGAACAAGACTTTCTTCCCCATTCTTCCTTTTATATTAAACTCTCTCATAAACTAAGCACAGGCACTTGCCACGGGACAGAACTGAACAAAGGACTGAACGCCAAGGACAGGAAAAATCCTTGTTCCGTGTTGGTATGGGTCCTTTACGGTTAAGTCAAACCAGCTTACCCAAACCATTCCCTCCTGAGTTGGTGACACATCTCACATGCATATGTACGTGTACAGGCAATGTCACTGGTTGTCACTGTCCTCTATAGGTGACCCACATGATTGACAGCAGGACGTGGGTGATTGAGGAGGTCCCAGCGATCCCCATCCTGACCCCTAGGGTGGATCCGACCTCGGACAAGCCCCGAGTGCCCGACCCTCCAAGCGTGGTCACCCAGCATACCGTCATGCCACCGGCGTACGTGCTGCTCAGCTCAAAGGTAAAGACCAGGTCCCTCGTCGAGCCTGCCGGGGAGTCTAGTCACAAGTCCAAGCATGAGACCAGTCAAAGGCAACAGGTCCAACACTGACCGAGGAACGCTTTTGTCACAGTCCATTTGAATAGCTTGCGAGTTGGCTGACGATTGGACGAGTGTCAGAGTTGCAGGCATGTGCGATGAACTGGACTACAGCCCCAGGAACACCGACAGCATTCCGTCAATTCACGTCATGCTGATCAGATCTTGCAAAGTGGGATATCACACGGGACCAGATACCTAGATAGCCAGTACTCAAACTGAAAATACATGTAAATGACACCTCTTTTGGTGGGCTGGGGAGATCACCTGGATCCTTTGCTCACTGTAAAATGACATTTCTGAGAGCAAAGCATAGCTTTTGACTGATCCCCACTGTCATAAATGAAACAGAAACATGGTTTTTACGTCCAAAAATACTGCGTGTGCTTCATTCCCAAAGTGGTTGAGTGTTGTATTTCACTAGCAGACATTTGAACACCCAAAACGATGGAACAAATACTCATACATATCATGCAATCCACATTGTTACCATGGTTACAGGGAAGTTACCTCGTAGGCAAGCTGCGGCCAGTGGATCAGCTACGCCAGTTGATGCTCAACAACATGGGTCCAGATAACCCTGTGGTGGAGAGCTTCTTCAAATTGCACAAGGTAGAAACTTTTTTTTCTCTTATCCACAGACCAAAATTCACTCCCCCACTATGGTAAGCATTCTGGGTATTATGGCGTGGTTGCATGAATCAGTTCAGCTGTCTAGATGCATCAACCCTTGTGTTGTTTGATATCCTTTCAAATATTCCGTTGTTGGGTGATACATATTTGTCGAAGAGACCGAGGACCATGTTCCTTTCCAGCATTCCTGAACTTCCATTAAAGTTGGTGAAGGTTTGTTTGTGGTAGATAAGTCAGCATTCTGGTCAAACAACTAAAATAAACCTCACATAAAAGAGACATCTTTGGTCAGTGTCTGTGTAGTACAGATATAATGTGTACCCTGACGTCAGATATGCTGAATATCAGTGCGTTAACGGCGAGTTAGAGTTTGTCATTTCATTGTTTGCCTTTTTTGTATGCGGTACAATCCAGGAGATAGGTGAAGTTTGTGCAAACAGTCAGTAGCTTTCCAAACACTCCTACAGAATTTGGAAGAATCATCTTCGACAAGTAAAAGAACGGAATACGTGTGCAACATTTGAGCCGTTATTTTCTCTGTGTACTCACTGAATACCTCTGTGATGCTTTTGCAGCACGTTACTTTGAGCAGTCGAGGCCATGCTTAATTTGATCCCGCATTCTTTGACTTTGTACTTTGTCGCAGTGCACCAGCGTGACCTCGTTTGACAAATTTAATCGTGTGATGAATGTCATTTTGACAGGAGGACCAGGCCTGTGCCACGTGCCTGATCCTGGCCTGCTCCAGAGCGTCCAGCGACGTGCAAGTCAGCGAGTGGGCCACCCATGCATTCTTCCTGTATGGCGGGGTAGCTAGACTCAGGTCCTACGGGGCACCACCTCCAAATCCAACCGCTAATCTCTTTGGTATGTGAGAACATTTGTCTTGATATTTGAGCCTCTTCCCAGCTGTTCCCTATAATCTTGCAGCACTTTATTTGGTTGAGTTTTAGGAGGTAGTTTGTCAGTAATCTAGGTTTTCAAATGAAGTTTGCATTTGCCTTCATGGCTGTGATGCCAACTGGGTTGTTGCCATAGCAGTGTGCTTACATTTTTTGCTGATACAGGAATGAATGGCCACACATTTACTTGCTCATCAAAACCCACATTTTGTTTCTAGCCCATCTGATTCCAGAAATCTCTTGTCTGTAGGCAACCTTCAGTGTCATTCTAAACTTTCCATTTGAGCAGGAACATTTTATCCTCAAATATGGAGTCTTTTTTGCCGCGTCGTAATTAATTTTCGAGATCAAGTTGCTGTGGGAGTATTCTGTACCAATACAGTGGAAACATGCGTGTCCTTAGCAGAAAGTAACTCACCACAGTCATAGTAAATAATGCTGATATAATTGCATGGAAGTCTGTGAAGTGCAACGCCAAATAGTAAAGTGTTCAACAAGGAATGAAAGCCAAAACTTCAGAAAAGTAGCACCTTAATTTTGTTTGTCACTGTCCAACAGGGAGCACCACACCAGTGGTGGGGCAGAGACCAGACAGCCAGTATGGTACCACACTGACTAGTCCACCAACATCGGGTATATATGAAACCTTCTGCTGATTGTTAGCAATCTAATCAAGTTGGGAAGATGATGCGTGCGATTGTGAGAAGGAATGGTTTTTAATGTTTCTGAATTTTGACTCAGTGGTATGTCAGATGGTAGGCCTGTTTTTCTACATCCTTTGTAGTTCTTCAGCAAACAACAACTATGATACATCTATGTTAGAATTTCAGAGTAAATGTTTGTAAACCAAGAATTATCCGTTTGGAAGAAATAGATGAAAGTTTGTCCTTCTTTCTTTTCACTGGTCAATGCAATGGGGTATTTTGCACTGGCAGTATTTTGCTGGCAGATGCTGAGACAATCAGGGTATATGCATCGCTTTCAGTGGGTATTAGAGTAAATCATCATTCACTTCTTTTGAAGATTTTTTTAAGCACAATCAACTTATCTGGAACCAAAAGTAACCACTGATGTTCAGGGGGTCCCTTGAATCGATTCTTGTCACGCCGGGCGTGCGGCCTGCTTCAGATTGATGGTCTTTTTGGCCGGTGTCCGTGTTTGCAGGTCTGCAGCCCAGCATAGCATCCACGCCCCTCCAGGCTTCTGGTGGGTACCAGGATACTCCCAGGACCAGCGCCGGTCCATCCGCCCAGCCGTCCAGCGACGTGGAGTTCTCGGGCAAATTCAAGGGGCTGTGCCTGTACTTTGGCAGAATAACCAGGTAGGAGAGATCAGTGTGCAGTCCTCGAGGCAAAAAAAAATGATAAAAGTGAGGCCTCTCGTGGTCATTTTCAGTCGCTAACAGAAAGTGTTGTCTCTTTTCTGTGCCCCTAGGCCGTTGTGGGAATTACTTGTTGCGGTTGAGGTTACATCTGTTGAGTACAGATCTCAGAGAACCCTGGTAATATGCAAATTTCTCTGGAATTCTGGTTTGTATGGAATGAACATATTGGGGGCTTGAAATTGACATGAAAATATTCATTTGGTGAACAATTTCCATTGACTTTTGGGATAAGTCACGGTGTGGTAGATGAGACCGTCGCACGACCAGACACAAGACCACCAAGAAGACCATTCACAAGACCAGCACAAGTAACAGGGTGAACAATGCCAAAGGAAGGCTTTTGTTGCAGTTCAATTGAATAGCTTGTGGCTTGCATTCAGACTGGAGGTCTTGTGTTGGTCTTGGGATGGTCCCAAGAGGTCTTGTCTGCAACACTGAACAAGTTCCTTCAACTGTTATATTTGACTGATAAAGATAGAAACTTTGGGTTGAAGTTTACCTACTGTGTGATTTACACAATCTAACCTTTCTGAGAACTGAGACAATTTGAAACAGTTGGGTCTCTGCTTTGCAGGACTTCCTTTATCCATATGCTGCTGGGTTTAATTTGAAGTTGCATGACGTATACCCGGGGGATTTTCAAGATTTTTCGGTTTTCAAAATTCTTCAAAAATTCATAACTTCATTTACTGGACATTTACACCCACATAAATGACTGTCTGATTGCTATTCTAATCTGACAGACAACATCTATTGACACCCGAGTATTTCAGCCAGGCCTGCCGCCTTGTAAAGAGAGCCCAGATTGTGCGGTGTTAATATGTAATTTTCTTTTGTTCCTGAAACTGGCACAGTACGCAGCTAGAGTCTTTTCAATAGGGACCAGATGAGCGTGCAGCAGTATTGTATCACTCATCACTGGAGCGCTTTTGTCCTTCATGGTAATCCGCTCGCGCTGAATGCCACAAACAGTGGTAGAATCATTCAAAACAATGATGGATTTCCTCCGCTATTAACAACTGAAAAAATGTTGGCAATTCCCAACAGCTCAGTCTTTCGTTCTGAGTACGGTCTCTTGTTACGAGGCCCAGCTCTTTTGTCCGATTTTGGGCAGCCCGGCTTTGCGTATAAACCCAAAGAGTCCGGTATCGGAAACCCCGGCACCAAGTGGTTTATAGAGTGGCCTATTTCTGGACAGTCGTGCCAACACTGGTTTCTCATGTACATAATCAGCTATCAGCTGCATCACGGAACAATTGTGCCATATTTACGTAAGCGGAAACCGCCAAAGCGTATACAGTTGCACAGTGAACTGGACACTGAAATGATCTAAACGGTAAACTTGGGTCATACATGTATATCTACTGTTGAGTATGCAGCTGCGCAGAAAGTCTCTAGGGTTCCTGGGATTTCCCGGGTTGCCGTATGCTCGCCTCTCACTTTTTGGCATCATCGCTATTTCGGCCTTGTTGTTTACCCCGCATCTTCCCCCTTGAAACCCCATCTCTCTTTCCTTGGCTCGGCAGCTGGTGACCAACTTTGACAGCAGCGAGCTGTCCTGGGTCCTGGACGAGATGAAGGCGCTCAAGCAGTTTCTGGACAGAAATTCTCAGTACACAGCCGTAGCTGAGAGGTAAGACGCCAGGACGCCGCAGATGCAGTGAGGAAATAATATCGATTTACCCAAGCACCTTTTTTTACAGGCGCAACACTCGCGCAGAGTCCTGAAGTAAATATGTCGTACTCACAGTTATGTGTGTAAAAGGCATTAGCTCGAGAACCAGCGCGTGGACGAACACATGCGCGGACTCCACTTGTTTACACTGCACTTTCTGGTTCAAAATGACATCATGCCTCGGTATTCTCTACGCTAACATACCCAAGAACGTTTTCAAGCAGTAGCTCTTTTCGCAGTTCCATTTTTTTGAAACTGAGACCTTGCCAACATAAACACAGTGCAAATTTTAAAGTTCGCCTCAAGTTTCTTTCAACTAGTAACTTTTCCTATATTATGGCTGCGCAAAGTTGACTTGTTGGTGTTTTGTTGTTTTCGATCTTTTTCCGTGTTCTTTTTCCTTTCTTTCTTCACCCCAAGTAATTTGGACTTAAGTTTACTCATTTCAGTTTTTGGATTCTGGCAAATTACCTTAAAGGCTTTTAAAATGGAATAGTAGAAGTTTGAAATTATAACTTGGTAATCGAGTGGAAAGAAAACTACCTCTTCAGTAAATGTTGATCCATTGAACGTAATTTGAATATCCAAGGTCTGTGTTGAAGTATCAGGGGTGAGATTTCTCAGCTTTTCAGCTGATTTCAGGTTTTTTTTGGGGGGGGGGATTTCAGCTTTTTTTTTCCTCACTGGCTGTGTACAAAAGTAGAGGAGATTTTCACAGTTCAGCTTCTTGATGCCTTTTTCCCCCTGAAGTATGCTTACTGATTCAGGAACAAACCATGTCCTTGTTGGCCCAATCTGTCTTCTTAGCCGGCATTTGAGATGACTTTGCACAGGTTACCTTTCATTCACCCTGGTCATCTTCAACAGCATAATGTCTGCCGGGATGCCAAGCTTTGCTAGACCGGAATCAGTGATCGGTCGACCAGGGGTTCAGTATCAACGAGAACAAACCCAAATGGAACAAGGTAAATGGAACAAGAGAGTCAGATTGTGGCGTAGTTTGAATGACGTCTTGACACAGAATTGCAGAGAGCAGAAAATTAAGATTAAGCCCTAGTGCACACCCTTAATCTTTGTTTACGAAAGCCCTCATAGAATTGAAATGGGGAAAAATTCTTAATCGAGGACTATCTGCCTTGAGCAGAAGCAGTCCTCATTGGTTGAATTCGGTTGAAAAGAGCCATGCTGGACGGGACTGTTCATTTTGTTGGTAGTGACGTGCGCGCAACACATGTATCTCATAGTCGTTTGTGAACCAGCAAAGTGAAGTTCCCACCAAAGGAGCTGCCGTTGCTTGGAAAATAACATTCTCTCGGCCCAGCTCAGGCTCATAAGGTGTATCTTAATTCGTTTTATTAATGCACCAAAGCTTTATGTTCTGTTTTGAAACTTGATTTTTTAAAATAAGTCAGACCGGGATTCTCGATTTATCGGGAGGAGGCACCCTGGCCAGTACCGCGTTGAGCAGACGCTTTCTTTTGTTGGGAAATTTTAGACCGGAGTCGGGGGCTTCTTTCATGTGTCCCATGTTGGCTGTCGGTTCAACATATGCATGTTCTTCATGACCACGGAAAAGGCATATGTGGACTCATGCGAACTTGGGCTCCTATGCAGACAGTGATCTGAACATTTAAATCTGTTGACCAGTTATTTCCTTCTAAATTTTGGGAAGAACCCCTGTAGCAAAGTTGCTTGCTTATTAAAGGTCACAGATACGTTGGCCTGCTAATCTCAACATCTGGAGTTCAGTGCCGCAGACTGGTACTCCATTCAGGCTTTCAAGTCTCCTTGGATCCAGGATGAGACAGAATCAACCATTTCCGTTCAAAGAAAATTAAACCAAGTGGTTCACTGATGCAGAATTGAATTGCCTGAATATAATTCACAAGAATGAGATTTTATCCTCTGCAGCTGAAGCGGAGAACGCCGAGAGGAAAGCGCTGCAGCAGTTGGAGCATCTAATTAACAGCTGCTGCGAGGTACTGGCTCTCCTGAAGCTCCTCTGCTATCACCAATTCCACAATGTCACCGCAGCCCTGCCGCAGGTAACAACTCCACCGGTCTCCACCCTAGCCCTGTGTCTCAATCACTCGGCTGCTGCTAGTAATAACACGCATCTATATGAGGCAGATGCAGCCCCTTGCCAAAGACACATGCGTGTCCCTTATTTTTACTTCACAAACCTTCCTAAATCCTGCAAAAATCTGACAGGGTCTAATAAGCCAAGTTCACATTATGTGCGTACCGCAACCAACCTTTGGCATCCAACTCCTTGTAAACTTGAATGTTGCCTGGCCCCAGCAATCCCAAATAATTTGGTTCTCAATGTTGGCATACAGGAAACCAGGGACCAGTTGAAGCGGATGACACTCCGTGATTTGGTCATCAACGGGAAGGAGGTTAGTGTTCCAAATCATCATTCGGAAAAATGTTCACTGTATCAAGAGGAATATCCTTTCAAAAGATTCAATTTGTGGTAATTTCTTTCCCCGGTTTCAAAATGACTGAGCAGTGTACTAATTGCCTTTGTAGGTTTGTGACATGTTGATAACGGCCCTGATCAACTTCTACACCGGTGACAATGCGACGACCGATGCCATCAGTTCCAAGCTGCGAGACATCTGCCCGTCTCTCTACAGCCGAGAGGATGCTATATGCTCCAAGGTAGTTTGCTGATAAACACAAATCTTCTGTTAGACGGGTCACCTCAGGTTTATGCACTGTGCCAATTAGCTATGGAGGAGAGTGGAGCCTTGACCAAGATGATACATAGTTGGTGTTAAGGAATTCTTGAATGTAGTTGTAGAAGGTAACCGCTGGTTGATAGCAGTTGTAGACTATTCAAGATTCCCGTTGTCATGGTAAAACCCCAAAAATCCTGGGGAAAAAAGGTTTTCTGAAACTCACTGATTTTACGGGTCATTTTTTTGTGCGCCCCGCCAGGGACACGCTGCCTTGTCCTGCGTGTCCGTCTATCCAGGTGGGTACAAGAAGTCTTCCCACCTCAGTTAAGGATAAACTTAAGATTTCAACTTTGAACTTGGCATGTTGGTTGGTCTTTGTAGGTCGACAAAGGTCAGGGTCACTCATTCTGATTAAAATAAATATGAGGCGATTTCTTTGATCAAAAGTTTAAGTCGCAGGTTTGGTGGGGCATTTGTGTTAACACATCATTTCTGTTTCATTGAATTGACGGTGGTTTTTTCTAACATAGGTTCTGTCTCAATTGATACTGAGCAGTGCTTTCAAACTGATATATTGTCTCCGTTCCAGGCCAACGAGCTGATCAAAGGCGCCCAACAGGCGCAGACACGTTCAGTCAAAGAGAAGATGCTGAAGGAATCTCTGCAGGTAACGAAGACCATCAGAATTGAAACTTGGATGAGACATGTGTGCTCCTCAGGAGAAGTTGCTCGTTCAATCAGTGTTTGGAACACTCACTTTGTCCTATACAGTAGCAGGCATTTCGCATAATAACGTTCATGTACACGTTTTTCATGAAATGCCTTCACAAAATGGGGATGTCTCCAATCAGTTTTCCCAGTTGTATACACATATCCCATGTTAGCATCATAACGAGCCCTCCTCAAAGTTTGCCCGAATAAGAGGACATGCTGAAAAGTACTTGCTGTTCACTACAAATAGCCCACGCTCTTCCACAAAGCCAAAAAAGTATCACTTTCGACGGTTGCACTTGACGTCCAGTGTGGGGACGTGAAGCCAAGCTGTTAATAAAAGTTTGCAACTCCCAGTAATGGGAGTAATACGAGTCTAGCAGATCGTGACTTGGTTTGACCTTAGGCATGTCACTTAACCCCCCCCAGCTCGCCTCTCTCCAACCAGGGGTGTAAAATGGGTACCTGTGAGGGTAGAAATGGTTGTGGTGTTGGATTAGCTGTGTGCGTCTCCCCTGGGAGCTGAGATGGTTCAGGAAA